TGATAACCATTGTTGATAAACTTGTACTCTGTTCTACACCATGTGCTATGTCTATCCTTGGTATTGACTGACAGCTTTGTTTTGCCATATTTGACTGTATTCTTCCCCCCCCCAAAGAAAGTAATAAGCACTAAGGAGTAATAAAATCCAAGATGTGTAAATTTTGTTGTAAAAAAGAGAGGGAAAAAAAAAGAAAAAGAGCTCTAACGGATATAACAGCAAGTGTGTTTGGGGGTGTTAAATAGCTGACTTTATCAATTTTTTGGAACATTGAACACAGCTGTTTGCAGTCTCCCTGTTTGAATGTCCACCTTGTGTTCTTTGATACTGTGATTTGAGGAACAATTTTCAAGATGATAGTGTGTAATCTACTAGCAGGTGATTTCTTACTGTTATGTTTTTTTGTTTTGTTTTGTTTTTTGTAGTTCTGTATTGCGTGTACCCTTACGCCGCTTTGGTTTGTTTTGTGTTTTTCTCTTTTTCCTCTTAAATAAAAAAAAAATTGTGGTATTTTTATACAATGGAGTACGACTTAGCTGTAGAGAATGATCACATTGAGATATTTATAAATAAATGGACACAGCTTGAGGCCATACTCATAAGCAAAATAAATCAAACTTACATATATAAATACCAAATAGTTTCCCTAGTGTAAGAAATGGTAAGAATACATAAAAATAGGTGGTAATCATGATCCCCCATTATATTGCTTTGAAGCCTTATAATGTTTTCATTCATTTATTGGAATGCTTTTATTCTGGGTTGTTTGATTTTATTGTTTGTGATGTTATGAACAGTTATTTTGAAGAAAACAAGACATTATAATAGCTAGTGCTGATTTAATATCATCTTGTTTGAAGTCCCATCAAGCTGTGGTACACCTGTTTCCACTGGTTTTAACATGTGGTATCTTACTATATTTTACTGTATGTGATAGTATAAACAAAATTTTTATAGGCAAGGAGATAATATAGAAACCATTGTTCATTTTCTGTTAACTGGTTCTAAATTCCCTGTAATTTCTTCATTCTCTTGAATAGCTTCAGACTGACTTGATATGCTTGATGCTATAGTATATGAAGTTATAGTATATGAAGTTATACTCAAATAATTCACTATGGTGACTACTATTATGTTAGATTATCTGGGGTGAAACACAATGATGCTTAAATAGTTCGGTTCTGACCTGTGTTGTTCTAATACAATGTCCTCTTTTACCTCAATCCCACCCTTTTTTAAAATTAATCTATTTTTTCTTACATTTTTTTTCAATTAAGGGAAAACTAAATTTTAAAATAGTGGGATATATTATAGTAACTTTTTTGTTTTCCTATTAACCTGATATGATCCCCAGTATTGCTCTCCCCATCTTGTTCTGTCAGATTTTGCTATATTCTATTTTGTTTGATACTAACAAGTTTGAGGGTATAGGCAACCACTTTGAAGGCAATAAGATTCACTAAGATGCCCATTATGGTTTGACTATTATCTTCTTTTGAAATCCTGTAAGGTCTCCAGTGTATTTTATTGGTCTTGTTCTGTACTGTTTTGATGAATTCTATTATACCTGATGATATAGGCAACTTTAAAAAAAATAGCAAGAGGCACAATGGTAACCATTTTAGATTACCTGATACTCTATTTTTCCATCACGTACTATGCTTATCCTTTTGTTCTAACTGACTGTTTTGTTTAGCCACGTTAGGTTTTATTCTCTCCAAAAAAAAAAAATAGTAAGAATTTTGGGAGTAAAAAAACCCAAAAGTGTAATTGTTATTAAAAAGAAAGGAAAGGAAGGTGGTCTAAGGGATATAACTACATGTATGTTTGAGTGTGTAGGATGGAAATCCATATTACTGAACTTTTGTTGGATCATTGATCAGCACTGTCTGCAATCTCATTGTATGAATGTTCACTTTACATGCTTTAATTTTATAATTTGGACAATTATTTCAAAGATGACAATATGTAACCTATTAACTAGTGATATCTTACTGTATTTTGTCCTTGAAATTCTGTATTATTTGTACCCTTTTACTGCTTTTTAAATTTTATTTCCTTTCTTTTTTTCTCTTTAAATAAAAAAAAATGATCAAATAATTTTAGAAGAAAAATATTGTATTAATGCATAAATTTCTGGGTAGAGGAAATTGATAAATCATTTAATCTTTCTTCTTTATCTCTCAATCTCCAATTTATAGAACTGAAATTTCACGCCCAGAAAATGTTCCTGATTTACTAATTAATGCTAGATACCCAAATGTCTGAAACTCAAGTCTGTTTATTTTCTTTATACCAACTAGCATTTACTAAATAAAAGTTTAATGCAAATTTCCATACCCAGCATGAAACCAAACTAAATAAATTAGAATTTTTCAATAAAGTGAATTTTTTGGTGTCTCAATTATTTTTCTCATTGCAGAGACAAAATATACAATACCCAAAGTTGAAAGAAAAAGGGTTGGGCTGGGGATTTAGCTCAGCGGCATAAGCGCCTGCCTTGCAAGCAGGCAGTCGTGAGTTCAATCCCTGGTACCGATAAAAAGGAAAAAGACAAAAAAAAAAAAAAAAAAAAAAAAAAAGAAATGGAAAGAAAAAGGGTTTATTTAGCTCACAGTTTGTGATTTAGTAATCACACATCCTTAATCCCAGCATGACACACACTAGATTCAGCCACTTCTGAGAAACTGGCTTGAGGCATTGGGGAGCTGTCTAAACACAAACCATAACATGTGGCTTACCTACAATTAGGACAAACTTGACATTAAAAATATAGATTTACTGTCCTCCCCAACATTCTTAACCAAAAGCCACAAAATATTATATTCATGGTCAACTGCAAGTTAGAAAAATTTATGTTTTAATTTTTATGAAAACTGAGATTTCACCTATAATAATAGCCAGGAAAATTCAATTCAGGATGACAAATTCTAATAGTGTTTTACCATGCTTTTTAAAAAGTATTTATAGCAAGTACACTTCTTATGAAACCTCATACCCTTCTGCATGCATACAGATTTGCCATTTGGGCTACTCAGAAGCTGGTAGGCTCAAATTCCTATAGAAATATAGGGAATATAACTCTGGCTCTTGATCAAAAACATATTCTCAACACTCTTGTAAAAAGGCAAAATACGAAAAACAAACAATCTTCCCAGTCACTGTGCTTGTTACTACCTTATTTTTAATTCCATATGTCAAATGAAATCCTGGAAAGGTCAGATATAATACTGGAAATTACTAGAGGTAGAAAAAAAGCTGTATATTTGGCTGATAATAAAAGTAGCTAACTAAATGCCCCTTTTCCTTCTTTAATTTTCTAGTAGATATTCGCCTGTAGGTAAAGGTGTACATTACAAATAAAAGCAATTGAATATCTATGTATCTATTTTTTAGTTTGTGTCTGCCAAGCCAATTTAAAAATGAAATATCCAACTATGTTTCATCTTATTACCTCCAGTGAAAACGGATAAAAACAGTAAAAGATACATCTTGCTTTACAAGATCTACTAAAGCAGTAACATCACAATCTCGTTTTTGTTCAAAGGAAAATCTGAGGTCAATCTTGTGTCATACCAAAATGTATGTTAAATAAAAAAGTAATTACCAGAGAAACAGACTTTTTATTTTCCTTGTGATATTTTGCTTAACATGCTGTATTACATTGTTAAAAATAAATGTTTTATTAATGAACAGTGAATTAAAGTCTAGGTCATTCTAAATGCAAGTAAAGTTTAACTGCAATATTCATTATCAAGCTTCATGCTAAGGAATTACTAAAATTGTTTAATTTTGATACATGTACAGGCTATGCCTCACTCTCAGTCTTACAGAACATTTTAGAGATGGATGGGGTTTTGATAGATGGGTTCAATTTTAACACAAATGGCTTCCACTAATAGGATGAGTAAATAGTTTTATTTCTTGAAAATACTGGTGCTTATCAATTATGAGTTGGGGAAAAGGAGGGTTTTAAAAATGAAATTTGTCTGGAAGTAATTTCACTTCTGTTGGTCATTTTACAATTCCAGATAAAAATGATCAGCTATTTAATTTCCATGCAACCAGTGATGGCTTTACAATGTATTTTCAAAATTTGGCCACAACCAATCCTATTGCCTCTGATTTAAAGGTTAAAAATAGCTTTGTGCAGGCTGCCACTGGCTGGGGGTACAGCCATATCCCAGCCCCTTCGGGAACTCAGGCTGGCAAACAAGAGCCAATCCCCCTAACCCCCACCCTCATAAGTGACTAGCTGATTGATAGAAACACAGGCTGTGATGATAGTTATTGAGGTGAAATGCAATTTGATGCTTGTGTTGTTTTGGTGTTTCACTGACCTTGCAGGTATAGGATCAGTGGTCTGATCATCTATTCAGAGGATGGCAGTAAGCAGCATAGCATGTAGGAGGATCTCCTTCTGAAGGTGATAGCCATTGTTAATTCCCTTAGTCTTGTTTTGAAGTCCTGTATCATTTGCATGGTTTTGTTGGGTTACAGTTTGTTCTGTTTTGTTTCATTTGATTTTGTTTTATCCAATGGCAAGATCATCTATTTCAAAGATAGAAAGATGTATCATGGTAGCCATTTTGGATTTACTATTGTCTTATTTTGAAGTGTTTTATTGATTCATTGTTTTGTCTTTGTTATTTCTATTGTTTGATTTTCACTATGTTTAAGGGTAACTGCAGCTATTTTGAGGACAGAAAGAGGCATTATGGTAAATATTGTTGATGTCATATTATTTTGAAGTCCTGTGTCACTTACACTAATTTGTCTTGATTAGTTTTATTTTCCCTGGTTTTATCCTCTTTAAAATAAAAAAATAAGGTAAGAGTGCCTTTTAGAACTGCTGAAATCATAGTTTACATAAACTAGAGCCTGTGATAGTACAAAACCACTGTTTGGTAGCCAACTCTTCTCTGATTCTGATCCAGGTATTTGTCACAACTGTCCTGGTATATTTTGTTCACCACGCATCTTCACTTTGTCTTTTTCAGATCCTGGCTAGATTGGAATATTTTGACCAGAGTTGGAGAATAGAGTTTCGCTGTGTTTCTTAGAGATCTTCACACCAGAACCAGTATTTGCCAACTAGGAGTCAAGGACTATGGCAGACAGAGGGCCAGAGATGCAAGAGAGATGCAACAGCCTAAAGAGACGGAACAGACGATGTTCTATGCCAATATGTGAATGCTAGTAAGAAGGTAAGATTAATAATGACTGAAACAAAAAGGATGTGGAAAGGTCACCTGGTTTTCCATTCTTCCCGTAAAACCCTGTTTAAATTATGTGCTATAATTTTTCCTCTTATTGACTCAGGAAAATATTGTAATTATTAATAATTGTTTTTGTAAAATACTACTGAAAGGAATATGAGTTAAAGGATATACAACACTACTAGTACTTATTTCCTTGACAAATGATCCCCTCTAAGTGTGGAATTGGCTCACAAATCCTTAACAGATCATGCCATGAAACCACTCTGATGTGATTATACTAGCAAGTGTAAGAAAGCCTACCATTTCCAACGTCAATGAAATACGGGGATTAGGATTCTATAAAGCTCCAGTTTCACAAAAGTATAAACAGCAAAGTAGATAAACTGGACTTCATTAACATAAAAAAAACCTTGTGGTTCAAAGGACACTATGGAGAAAGTAAAAATAAAGAAGTAATATTTAAAAATCAAATATCTGAAAACATACTAAAATTTTAAACTAACATAAAATGAGCTGTTAAAAAATCAACAATAAGCCAGCCATTGCGACACTTGCTATAATCCCAGCATTCAAGAGCCTGAAACAAAAAGACCAGGAGTTCTAAGCCAGTTCAGGCCAGCCTAAAAACTCAACAGTATAAAGTCAACCCATTTTTTTAACTGAGAAGATAGTTTATCAAAATGTATTTTGCACAGAATACACGTGTCATTAATAAGCACATAAAAAGATGCCCAACATTATCTACTATGATTATGTTCCTCCAAACTTTAGGCTAAAATTTAACCTCCAGGGTCATAGCATAAAGAGGAGAAATGCTAAGGAAGTGAATAGACTACAATGGCTTTTCCCTAAAAAACGAGCCTGGTACCCTTATAAAAGAGATGAGAGAGCCTATACTATCTTTTACTAATAAAAGCACGGTAATAAGGCGTCTTCAACATCTCCGAAGCAGTGTGCAAGCCCTCACTGGACATCAAATCTACCTGGCCCTAGTTTTGTACTTCCCAACCTCCAAATCTTTGAGAAGTTTCTACTCTTTATAATTACCAGTGTCTGAAGGCACAAACAGTGTAAGACCTTCTCCACTAGGTGAATGTGACGAGACAATACTGCATTACCTACGTGGAAGACTACAATAAAAAAAGATAATATTTTTGTAAAAATGTGGAGAAATTAGGATATTTACACACCAATAATAGGAATGTAAATGATGCAGTCACATTAGAAAATAGTCCTTCCATTCCTATAAGGGTTAAAAATTGAAGTAACACATGATCCACCAACCACACTTACAATATAAGTACACTTACAGCCAAAAAAGTGAAAAGCTGTATCTGTACCAATAAAATGCACATGAGTGGTCAGGGCAGCATTACCTGTAGTAGCCAGAAAGTGGAAGTAACAAAGGCCCAAAACTATTGAACGAATAAGTAGAAAACGATATCCATACTATGACATAACATTCAGCAGTAAAAAGAAATGAAGTACACCTGAGCATTTATAAATGGTAGGTGCTGCGAGTAACATGAACCTGGAAAACATTAGTCTGCTCAAAGGAAAGCCAACAACAAAGGAAGAAATACACATAATCTCATCTTTATGAAATGTCCACAATATACAGATTCACAGTACCTTAGTAGTTGCCTAGAGATACAGGGACAGAGAAATGGGGAAGAGGGATGAGAGCTAATGGATGTGATATTTTTCCTTGAGCTGATGAACATATTCTAAAACTGATTGTGGTGACGGTGGTACAACCCCTTGAATATGCCAAAAGCCATGGAACTGAACATTTTAAGTGATGAATTATTTCTATGGTATGTAAGTTAAGTCTCCATAAACCTTTTACCAAAAAAATTAATAAGAATCTAGTCTGAATGTCCACTTTCATCTGCAACAAAATTAGTAATGGTTAAGCACGCTGATTATCTAGGCAAGGACTCTGTATACTAGTTGAAACACTCAGAACTTGACAGAGGCATATATATATATATATATATATATATATATATGCACATAGATATGTATTCAAATATATATATATGCACATATATTTATTATACCAAGTATCCTGAGCCAGTATTCAACAGGTTGAATATTCTCTCTCATTCCAGTCAATCACAGCCAGTTTTCCAACAGCCTCCCTAAGGGTTTTATGAGCAGGATCAATTAGGCAGTATTACTTTATTGAATTGTTAAGGGCCACCAACAGCTTGGTGAATTACACAGTTCTCACATCAGTGCATGAGTGATAGTTGGCAGTAAGACAATCACAGTAACAAAAGCACCCAATGTACAAATCACAGAAATAGAAGAGTCTGACTATCTAAAGTAATTGGAAAATCATTATGAGAAAATATAAGAATACACCAATTTCTGAATATTTTGCATGTAGAAGTGAATTAAAAACCCAGTAGGAATTCAGAAGTTTGCCCTCATTTTCCTCTTCCCAATGCACCTAAAAGTATCAGTTGAAGACTTACAGGTTTTAATAACGCTTTATGGAAATTATCCCTAATGGAACTCTAAACACAAGTGCATGTACATTTCTTATGCTCTACTATCCCAGATACAGATAAACGAATAGAGATCAACTGACACAGAAATAAGTATGTCCACATCTCTTTGCAGATCTATAAAGACAATCTGAAAGTTTTTGCAAAATTTTTTAAATTTATTTTAAAGACAAAAAATAAAATGAAATTTCAAAGCAAGATAATGGGAGAGTACCTCTGGTTAATACATTGCATATTGTTGTCTTTAAATTAGCTACTCAGAGTAAAAGAAGTCAGCCTTTAAATGCCCAAATTATATTAGCAAAAACTATCCTTCTTAATGAACTAACAGAACATATATCTTAACTATCATATATATATGATATATGTAAATATATAGATATATAGAGAGATAATTATAGATATATAGATAAGATATAGATAGATAGAGATATGATATATAGATATATATAGAAAATATATAGATAGTATATCATATACAGATATAAATTTGTTTCTTTTCCTTTCCTTCTTTTCTCCATTCCACCATCCCATTTTCTCTTTCCTTTGAAAGTTTCTTCACATTTTACAATATTTATTGTACATTTTGGATCTTACTCTTTCACCTTCTCACACTAGGGAAAGAATACAATGTTTATTCATATGAATCGGATTTATTTAACTAATGAGGGCGGTCTCAAGTTGTATCCATTTACTCATAAAAATCTTCAGTTTATCCTTCTTTATGACTGAATAGTATTCTGTTATATAAAAATACCACATCTTTTTTATCCATTCCTTGGATGGTGGGCATTTGGGTTATTTCCAAGATTTGTCTATTGCAAATTATGTATATATAGATGCACATATCTTGCTGTCTTACGATGTTTTAATTCTTCTGGGAGATACACAGCAGGAGAATAGCTGGGTCAAATGAGACCCCCAAACCTAATTTTTTGAGGAATCTCCACACTGATTCCCATGGTGAGTGCACCAGTCTACACTCCCACCAAGAGTGGAGAAAGGTTCCCTTTCCCCACAACCCCTCCAGTATTTTTTACTGGTTGATTTATTGATGATAGCCATCCTTTCTGGAATGAGGTAGAATCTCAGTGTTCTTTAAATTTCATCTCTCAAATGATCAGTGATATTGAACATTTTTTCATATATTTATTTGCTGTTTGTATTTCTTCATCTGAAAAGTGTGCATTCATCTCAGATTCCCATTTTTGGATTGGGTCTTTAAATTTGAGAGGTCTGACATTTTAGAATTCCTTTTATGTTCTCAATAGTAATCCTTTGTCTGAGGAACAAATGGAAAATATTTTTTCCTACATTGTAGATTGTATCTCCACTGTGTTAATGGGTTTTCTTGCTGTGCAAGAGCTTTTTAAATATATGAGACTGCAGTTGCCAATTCTTTGTGATAATTTCTATGTGGTGGGAGTTTTATTCAAAAACTCTTTGCCTATACCAATATCTTCAATAGTTTTACCTATTCTATCTTCCAACAGATTTAATGTTTCTGTTTAATATTAGATCTTTGATCCATTTTTAATTTAGTTTACTGCATGGTGAAAGATGTGGATCTAGTTTTAGGCTTTGATGTGTGCAGAGTCAGTTTTTCCAGCACCATTTATTAAAGAGGCTATCTTCCTTCCAGGGACTGTGTTTGGCACCTTTGTCAAAGATAAGGTGGCTTGGCATGTCTGGAGCTGTTTCTGCATCTTCTAATTTGTTCCACTGATCTTTGGGTATTTTTTTTTTGTCTTTTGCTTTGTTTTATTGCCATTACCATGCTGTTTTTATTACAGTAACTTTATAGTATAATTTCAAGTCAAAAGCAGGGATTGTGATGTCCCCTTCCTTGCCTTTGTTGCCCAGAATTTCCTTTACTATTCTAGGTCTCTTCTGGTCCTAAATGAATTTTAGAATTTCTGTCTCTAGTTCTGTGAAACATGCCATTGGAATTTTGATCAGAATTACATTAAATCTATATAACAGTTTTGGATGTGGGGCTTCAGTTATTTGCATCCCCTATAATTGAAAGCCTATAAAATGTAATCTCACTATAAAATGTGATACTATGATTCACATGCACCATCTATTCTCAAGAATTCTTCCACTGTGAAAATGTCTAACCCATGGAATATTTTTAAATCCAAATAAAATATTATTAATTCTGTAGGAATATTAAAAACTGAACATAATGCTTGATTTGTGTGTATTTGATAAGCATATATTCATTTTTATTTTATTTTATTAGCTATGGTAAATTGCAGAAATGATCCTAATTCTCTCTCATTTTCTGTATCTATATCTTCAACAATGTGATTTTGTCACTCCTCCCAGCAAGATGATTTTTTCACTTTTTAAATGTGAATTAGTTCTTTAAATTAGTTCTTTAAATCACAATATTCTAATGTGATAGAAGGGTTAGGCTTCTTTTAAGACTAAACCACCAGAGAACTTGTAGACTTTGATGCTCTTTCCCCTTCACCTACTTTTACCAAAAAAAAAAAAAAAAAAAAAAAAATAGAACTTGGCTAATTTCTTAGAAGATGAGATATATATGGAACTGCAAAACTAATACAGGTGTCTTACCTGAGAGCCCCATGCTTGTGACAGAGAAAGTAAAGCCAAGTCAAGTTCAGACCTGTATAAACATCCAATTGACCAGATGACTGGTGTTCAAAAATTATTTTTGATGCAGGTATGGTGGCACACACCTGTAATTCCAGCACATAAGAGGCCGAGCCAGGAGGGTCACTGAGAGTTTGAGACCAGCTTGGGTTATCCAGTGAGTTCAAGGGCAGCCTGAACTGAATAGTAAAATCCAGTCTCAAAAAGATATTTAAAAAAGAAAAATATAAATTATTGCTTTATATTCTATGTAGCTAATAATTTGTTACTTATCAAACACTTGAAAATTAAAATCTAAACCCTTCCTCTAGTATGGTACTTAATGGATTCAACACTCTACAACCAAAGTCATATGCACACACATGTGTACACATTCAAACAGAATATCACTAGTGAAAGGGTTTTGGCCCAGATGGGACACTGTAGCCAGAAAAGTCCTCAGCCAGAATCATGGAGCTCCTAGCTCCCCTGCCCCTAGACATTTACCTGTAACTCTATCTCCCCCCCCCCCACCCTTCAGAATCTGCCCCGGGCACCAAACGTGTGCCAATGAAATACCTGTGCATCTCTAATGGCCTTAGGGTACTGCCCTAAGCTTAGGCTACTTATATGCCCCCACACCACGTTCCGCAAGAGAGATCTCCGGACTTCAGTGGCCGGGGTGCCAGTCATCTCTCTCCGTGTTCTCAGAATAAAGGCCTCTTTTTGTTTTATACTTCTCATCTTTTGGAAATACTTTTCATCTTTTGGAAATAATCCTATCAACTAGGAATAGCAAATTGGGTTTTTTTCTATATGCCATACCTTGAAGATAATTCCTGGCCATTGATAGCTATTATTTTAGCAATAGGAAATGCTTTTCCTCCATAACTGCTCCCATTTGGACTACGATACAATTAATGACTGGGAAAAGGGTTTGGAGGCCCTCTCTCAACATTATTGGATGTACAGGAAGATGATTCCCCCAGATTTGTCAGAAGCTGAGAGGAATTGCTTTCATTCTATGGTAAATCTGTTGAAATTAACCTTTCTCATCTGCCTATGTTTAGTGTCAGTAACTGTTCTGGAAATCCAAAGGGATATTAAAATGATTCCAATCTACATCAACATTTAAAGTCAAATGAATAAGCAAACTATTATTGTAGCATTAAAACCTCCATTTTCATCTGAAAACACTACCATATTGAAAAATGTGATCTTAGTATATAGTACTTGCAACCTTAATCTTCTACTAGGTTCTATTTTCTTAACTCTATCCAAAATGGGCTTTGTATTAAATTAATTAGATATTTTAAATTAAACAAGGCATATTCTGCATCTAGGCTGCCAAATAAGGCAATTAGGTGGCTGTGTTTAGCTCGTCATTTAAATTCTGGATAGCAGTTTACTTTGTTAGGAGATCTGCAAACCAAATTATTTACTCTTTTCCTCAAGCTTGAAATGATAGCGGAGGAGTAAGAAACCACACTCTTTACAGCAACATTCTCGCCCATTCCTATTAACATTTAAACAAAGCCATTGGATTCACACCCATAAAACTCTAGCACAAACACCCCACAATCCATGTTATGACTTTTATATCTGAAAGAGATGCAATCTGAGGGCTACTTTTTAAAATCGTGCAGAAATATGAGACCTGAGCAATAGTGAACTAGAGATACTAAAACTGCTGTCACCCTCCTTCATCTGTCCCTCTTTCTTCAACTAACTAACAGAATAATTATCCTAAAGTACAACTCAGATCATGCATTCCCAACTCAGAAAAGATAACTCATAATAAGTGCCTAAGTTACTGACAACCTCTAAAATCTGCCTG